TAACATCGTAATTTTCGTCATTATCTACTACCTCGAAGACTTTCCTAAAAAATGTCAGCAGATTTGTTAGACAAGATTTTCCCTTTGTAAACCCATGTTGAGAGTCGTAGATTAAGTTAACAAAAAATAAAAATGGCTTTACCTTCACACACACACACACACACACACACACACACACACAGTGTTCCTACAGTGCACTCCAAGGAAAAGCACAAACACACAGCAGTGTAATACTGAGTGTGGCTGGATCTGACCTAACCTGACCTGACCTCACGGTTTCACCTGACCTAACCTGAAGGATGGAGCACACCTGCAATGCCCCAACCTTCTGTCCTGGCCACGTGGCCACACACCTGCCCAACAGCATCCAGCCCATACGAGCACGAACTGATTGCTAAAAGAACATAAGAACATAAGAACATAAGAATGGAGGAAACTGCAGCGGGCCTATTGGCCCATACTGGGCAGTCCCGTTTACAACCAACCCCTATTGCTCATATGAGCATCCAACCTATGTTTGAAGCAATTCAGCGTATTCGAGTTAATGATGATATTTGGTAACTTGTTCCATTCATCCACTACTCTGTTTCCAAACCAGTGTTTACCTATTTCACGCCATGTTACTTGTTTATAATCTACATAAACGATCTAGATACTGGGATCAGCAGTGACATAAGCAAGTTTGCGGATGACATCAAAATAGGGCGGCAAATTAATTCAGGGCAGGATGCAAATGCATTACAGGAGGATCTAAATAAACTGCAGGGGTGGTCTGAAAAATGGCAAATGAAATTCAACACCAGCAAGTGCAGTGTACTTAATATTGGAAGAACAAATACTGACAATGTATACAGCCTTAACAACATCAACCTAGAGAAGTCGACTTGTGAAAGAGACCTAGGGGTACTTGTAAGCCCGGACCTACGGCCTAGAAAACAGTGCGTTAATGTTCGAAATAAGGCAAACAGAGTATTGGGTTTTATATCTAGAAGTGTAAGTAACAAGAGTGCAGAGGTCTTATTGCAACTATATCTTGCGCTAGTCAGGCCGCACCTCGATTATGCGGTTCAGTTCTGGTGCCCCTATTATAGAATGGATATAAATTCACTAGAGTCGGTGCAGCGAAGAATGACAAAAATGATTCCGGGACTTAGAAACCTTCCATATCAGGATAGGTTAAAGAAACTTAACTTGCATTCCCTAGAAAGACGAAGAGTGCGGGGAGATATGATAGAAGTATTTAAGTGGGTGAAAGGAATCAATAAAGGGGATATAGATAAAGTTCTTATAATATCCGAGCAGGATAGGACTCGGAGCAACGGATTCAAGTTGGATAAGTTTAGGTTTAGGAGGGAGATAGGAAGAAACTGGTTCACAAATAGGGTGGTGGACGAGTGGAACAAGCTTAGCAACTTTGTAGTAAGTGCTGGAACGCTGGAAAGTTTTAAAAGGAGGCTAGATAGATTCATGGATGATAGAGAGTGGAAGTAACTCTCGACAGGAGCTGCCATGCACAGGTCAACCGGCCTATTGCAGACTCCTTATTTTCTTATGTTCTTATGTTCTTATATCATTTGTAAATCAAGAGACCCATTCCCCAATTATGTAATTGTATATTTTCAGCCTTCCGGCTGCCATGCTCTTTCAATAAAACCGTTAATTATTACACACACACACACACACAGAGCAAAAAAACAACATTCCTCACAAACTAGGAGAAAACATCCATCAGGAAATCAGTAAAAGCTAAATCAATCCAAACGTTGCCACCCCCGCCCCCCCCCCGAAAAAAAAAATAATAATTATCCTGAAAATTTGAGACTCGGGCCCTAGATTAGACAAATGACGTCACACCACACCAGCCCGGCGCGTCGTTAAGTAACAGGTGTGTATAAGGCGTTAAGTAACAGGTGTGTGTGTATAAGGCGTTAAGTAACAGGTGTGTGTATAAAGGCGTTAAGTAACAGGTGTGTATAAGGCGTTAAGTAACAGGTGTGTATAAGGCGTTTAAGTAACAGGTATGTATGGGCGTTAAATAACAGGTGTGTATAAGGCGTTAAGTAACAGGTGTATAGGCGTTGGAGTAACAGGCTAATGTGTGTGTATAAGGCGTTAAGTAACGGGTGTGTATGGGCGTTAGTAACAGGTGTGTATAAAGGCGCGTTAAGTAACAGGGGTGTGTATAAGGCGTTAGTAACGGTGTAAGGCGATTGCCGTAACAGGTGTGTGTATAAACGTTAAAGGCAGGTGTGTATAAAGGCGTTAAGTAACAGGTGTGTCTGGCGTTCAAAGTAACAGGTGTATATGGGCGTTAAGTAACCAGGCGCCTTATAAGGCGTTAAGCAACGGGTATTGTGTATAAAGGCTGATTAAGTAACGGGTGTGTGTGTAGGCGTTATTAACAGTGTGTGCCAAGGCGTTGTAAGTAATAGGTGTGACGTGGCAGGCGTTAAGTAACAGGTGTATATGGGCGTTAATAACGGGTGTGTGTATAGGCGTTAAGTAACAAGGTGTGTATAAGGCGTTAAGTAACAGGTGTGTGTATAAGGCGTTAAGTAACAGAATTGTGAGCGTGTATGGGCGTTCATGCTGGGTGTTTAGGCGTTAGTAACAGGTGTAATGTATAAAGGCGTTAAGTAATGGGTGTGAGCGTGTATAAAGCCGTGGCAAGAGTGTATATAAGGCGTTAAGCCAAGGTGTGTGTGCTGGGCGTTAAGTAACAGGTGTGTATAAGGCGTTAAGTAACAGGTGTGTGTATAAGGCGTTAAGTAACAGGTGTGAGCGTGTATAAGGCGTTAAGTAACAGGTGTGTTTAAGGCGTTAAGTAACAGGTGTGTATAAGGCGTTAAGTAACAGGTGTGTATAAAGGCGTTAAGTAACAGGTGTGTATAAGGCGTTAAGTAACAGGTGTGTATAAGGCGTTGAGTAACAGGTGTGTATAAGGCGTTAAGTAACATAAGAACATAAGAAAATAAGGAGTCTGCAATAGGCCGGTTGTCCTGTGCATGGCAGCTCCTGTCGAGAGTTACTACCATGAATCTATCTAGCCTCCTTTTGAAACTTTCCAGGGTTCCCGCACTTACTACAAAGTTGCTAAGCTTGTTCCACTCGTCCACCACCCTATTTGTGAACCAGTTTCTTCCTATCTCCCGGGTATTAGGTTCAGATTATTAATTGTCTTGTGTCAGGTATTTGGAGAGTTGTAGAGGAGGAGAAAGGGTCGGGTGAGTTAACCGTGTATTATATAGGGTGGGTGAAGAGGAGTTTGTTTATTGGTAGGGAAATGCTTCCAGCACATACGTGAATCAAATCAAATTTTCCACCCAAAAAAAACTTTCCTGGGTAAAAAAAAAAAATCAATAATCTTTCCATTAGTTAAAGTCTTGTCCTCCAGTATATGTTTAAGAATTAGTATTAGAGGAATATTGCAGTGCACAATAATACAGTACTGGGCGTTACCTTAGACGTTAACGAAGAAATATATATTAATTGGGAAGGTAATACAGTTTTAATCAAGTAGTATGGGATATATTCTTATTTATGATTACAATAGAAGCAAATACTTCATATATACCTATGTATGGTCCGTATAAGACAGTACATCTCTATGTGGTTAATTCACAAACTGTAGTACCAATACAAATTTACCTAATAATGGTTCATATATTTATAAACTTGTAGCCTGTGTGTGTGTGTGTGTGTGTGTGTCTGTGTGTCTGTGCGTGTGTGTGTGTGCGTGTGTGTGTGTGTTTTACCCCCAAATACTAACCTCCTCTGCCCCCCACCACCAAGCCAAGTGACTGTCTACTGTGTGTAAAAAAACTGTATTTACACGCGAGTCATTGAACAGTACTCCGTATACCCGATCATTACCTAACCACTCACCCCATCACCCCTTCACTCCATCACCCCTCCACCCCATCACTCCTTCATCCCATCACTCCTTCACCCCATCACCCCATCACTCCTTCACCCCATCACTCTCCCCATCACCCCTTCAATTCCCCACTTCCGTCCCATCCATCCCTTTACCCATCACCCCATCACTCTTCATCCATCAATTCCATCACTCCCTTCATCCCATCACCCCTTTTACCCATCATCACTCTTCCATCCCATCACCCCTTTACCCATCACCCTTCTCACTCCCATCACTCCATCACCCTTCACCCCATCACCCATCACCCCTTCAACGTATCACTCCATCACCACCTTCCTTCTTCACCTCAACATCACTCCATCACCCCTTCACTCCATCACCCCTTCACTCCCATCACCCCTTCCTCCTTCACTCCTTCACTCCAATCACTCCATTACCCATTCAATCACTCCATCACCCATCACCCCTTCCTCCCTTCACTCCATCACCATCACCCTTCACTCCATCACTCCATCACTCCATCACCCCCACCCCATCCACTCCCTTCACTCCATCATTCCTTCAGATTCACTCCATCACCCCTTCACTCCGGCTTCAGCCCATTACCCCTGATCACCCCTTCTTCACTCCATCATTCCATCACCTTCACCCCCATCACTCCATCACCCCTTCACCCATCACCTTTCACCCCATCACTCCATCACCCCTTCACCCCCATCACTCCATCACCCCTTCACTCCATCATCTCTTCATTCACCTTCAATTCACCATTCATCCCATCAACCACATAGTCACCCCTCACAAGACCGCCCATCACCCCATCATCCCACCACTCCACCCATCACCACACTACTCACCCCCATTCATCCCCGCCCATCACCTCGCCACCACCACCAACCCCACCCATCACCCCACTTATCACCCCTACCCATCACCTCTCCACCACCACCACCCATCACCCCGCTACCACCGCCCACCCAACACCCCGCCACCATCCTCCCCTTCAACCCGCCACCACCACCACCCATCACCCCACTACCATCACTTTTTAACCCCTTCACCCCATCACACACACACCACCCATCACCACCACTCAACCCCATCACCCCATCACACACAGGCGCGCCAAGGAGAAACGACTAAAGAAGGACGCTGGTCGCACACGCTGGGGCCAGTACTTCCGCTCAATGAAGAATGGCGGCCGTGAGAAGCGACGGGATGATGATAAGAGTGACGCCGATCTCGACATGGACTCACGTGAGTTTATCATCACTGTCTCTCTCTGTCTGTCTCTCCAATAGTGAAAACTCGCGCACCTAACACACTCTTTTGTTTAACCTTGCCGTCATCATAGTCACTTGATTGAGATGTTTTGGGTAATAATTAACTTGTCGTATATGTGTGCCAATTTTTAAATCACGAGAATATTTTTTTTTTAATAGAAATAGTTGACAATTGGAATATCTGAAGAATTAAGTCTCCCTCCTGTTTATTTCACTTGAAGATTAACCACCCTAATGTTAACCTAACCGAATGCTAGCCTAATCTAATCTAATCGAACTTAACTTAACCTAATCTTGCATAACTAACCAAACCAAACGCTAACCTAACCTACCTCCCCCATGTGGCATTACAATGTTCGATCATCAGGTAAAATAAGCTAGGGTGACTAATCTTCAGGTGATTCTAAAATAACAAACATATGTGTATCAATTTGACCCAAGATTCACCTCCATTATTGCCACCAAATTCTTGCTGTTTCATAAATTCAAGTTTTTTATTAACCATCTCGCTGTAGAGGAGATGTGTGGTGACGAGGCTTCACTCTTACTATAGCTCTTAAGAAACCTTCAGTGTAGGGATCATGGGTGACGCTGTGTGTGTGTGTGTGTGTTAATACTGTATCTCCGTGTACAGGAGACGTTAATACTGAGTGTATGTGTGTATAGGAGACGTTATTACTGAGTGTACGTGTACAGGAGACGTTAATACTGTGTGTATGTGTGTATAGGAGACGGTCAATATGTCTTCGGGTCTAACAATCAATAGCAGCTGTTTAGTTAACTGTGAACCTCTAAGATGAGCTGTGGTCCAACACTCACCTGAGTTGGAGGTATTTACCTTCTGGCACCCGTAGTCACCTTAATACTAGTGGGGCTTTTGGGGGGTGTACTGTATGTATGACAGCAACGTGTCCTGTAATCACACACACACACACCAGCATGTGTGAACCCCCCGATATGAACCTTTAAAAACAGCCCAGTTTAAGCCTGTACAGTGTTGTGGTACTGTACTGTGCTGTACTGTGTTGTACTGTGTTGTACTGTACTGTGCTGTACTGTGTTGTACTGTGTTGTACTGTACTGTGCTGTATTGTACTGTACTGTGCTGTACTGTATTGTACTGTACTGTGCTGTACTGTATTGTACTGTACTGTGCTGTACTGTATTGTACTGTACTGTGCTGTGCTGTACTGTGCTGTACTGTACTGTGCTGTACTGTGCTGTGTTGTATTGTACTGTACTATACTGTACTGTACTGTGCTGTACTGTGTTGTGCTGTACTGTGCTGTACTGGTTGTATGTGTGCTGTGCTGTGCTGTGCTGTACTGTGCTGTGCTGTGTTGTGTTGTGCTGTACTGTGCTTGTGCTGTGGTGTACTGTGCTGTGCTGTGTGTACTGTACTGTGCTACTGTACTGTATTGTACTGTACTGTACTGTACTGCTATGGCTAGTACTATGACTGTACTGTGTGTGGCTGTACTGTACTGTACTGTACTGTACTGTACTGTACTGTACTGTACTGTACTGTACTGTGTTGTACTGTGTTGTACTGTACTGTATTGTGCTGTACTGTACTTTACTGTACTGTACTGTACTGTAGGTAGTCTAGACATAAGTCATCTGTGCCGGCTGCCGCTCATGTTCCCTGTATTTGTCTTTTCGCTGCAGAGCTCGACGCTTGTAAGTACTGAACCTTTCTTGTTTATATCACCCATTGTTAGTTCACACACTGTATAGAAATATTTATATATGTTACGCTAAATAGGGATAATCGCTGATTAAGTTTTAAAAAACAACTAATATTTTTGCCAAATACGGATAACTTTTTTTTGCTAGATTTTAATAGAAATTAATTCGTATGACGTAAAATTTGTTGTTGTATTTAAGACGTCGTTTACCACCATAGCCAACTTATACCTAAAGTATGTTAGGTTAGGTTAGGTTAGGTTTTCAATAAATTATTCATGTGGCTGTATTATGATGATCTAATTTGATCGTCTACTGTACAGCCAGTCACAAGTTAAACAACGATATTCACAGAAATTATCGCTTTTAGGCAATTATCCCTTTTTAGTATTATATATATATATATATATATATATATATATATATATATATATATATATATATATATATATATATATATATATATATATATATATATATATATATATATATATATATTTTTTTTTTTTTTTTTGCCTGCGTGTTTTTATATTACAATCATTTTATTACTGTTATCATCTTTAATAATAATAGTAATCGTAAAGGTAATAAGATTAATAAAATTTTATTATTATTATTATTATTATTATTATTATTATATTATTATTATTATTATTATTATTATTATTATTATTATTATATTATTATTATTATTATTATTATTATTATTATTATTATTATTATATTATTATTATTATTATTATTATTATTATTATTATTATTATTATTATATTATTATTATTATTATTATTATTATTATTATATTATTATTATTATTATTATTATTATTATTATTATATTATTATTATTATTATTATTATTATTATTATTATTATATTATTATTATTATTATTATTATTATTATTATTATTATTATATTATTATTATTATTATTATTATTATATTATTATTATTATTATTAGAATATATATTTTTTTATTTGTAGGTGTCGACTGTACTGTACCTTTACACTTCACACGTATACTGTATAATAACAGCCGTAATGACAGGCAGAAGAGTAAATAAACGCATACAAGAACCAATAAAAGCAAAACTAGTCCTCTTATAAAGAATTAGCACCGAGTATAATAATAATAATAATAATAACAATAGTGACACTACTACTGGGTCGCCCACCAAGGTCTTACGGGATAAAACATATATTTCAAGGGGATAAAATACTGTAGATGATTCGTGCGATGTTTTACGAAAAAACATAATGAAATAAAACAGGTGATTGGTGGTGAGGTTTTTTTTTTCCGAATAAACAAATAATTAAACCAGGTTATTGGTGTTGTTTTTTACCAATACACAAAAAAATAAAACAAGTGATTGGTGCGGGTTTTTATAAATAAACAAATATAAAATAAAACAAACGATTGGTGGTGTGTTTTTTATGAATAAATATAATTAAATAAAACGAATAAATGGTTGGGGATTTTTTACCATGAAAAATAATGAACTTAGTAAAATATGTGGACGTACAAAAAAAAGTATATATATATATATTTTTTACTAATGGACGATAAAATTGACTAAAACTCATAATTAACGTAATTTTTACCAACAGACTTAACAAAAGTAGAAACAGTGTACTTACATTTACTGAAAAATAAAAAACATAAAAATAAAACAACTAACAAAAACAATTAAATGAACAAGGACATTAAATTTAATACACACAACAACAACAACAAAACCATTTAATTTAATATTAAAAACAGACTTCACTATCATCTACCACACCTCATCGCTTCACTATCATCTACCACACCTCATCGCTTCACTATCATCTACCACACCTCATCGCTTCACTATCATCTACCACACCACATCGCTTCACTAGCATCTACCACACCACATCGCTTCACTATCATCTACCACACCTCATCGCTTCACTATCATCTACCACACCTCATCGCTTCACTATCATCTACCACACCTCATCGCTTCACTATCATCTACCACACCTCAACGCTTCACTATCATCTACCACACCTCATCGCTTCACTATCATCTACCACACCTCATCGCTTCACTATCATCTACCACACCTCATCGCTTCACTATCATCTACCACACCTCACTATCATCTACCACACCTCATCGCTTCACTATCATCTACCACACCTCAATGCTTCACTATCATCTACCACACCTCATCCCACATCACCACACCTCATCCTTCACTATCATCACCACCCACCACATCACCACACCTCATCCTTCATATCATCTACCACACCTCATCCTCCACTATCATCTACCACATCATCCTTCACTATCATCTACCACACCTCATCGCTCATATCATCTACCACACCTCATCGCTTCACTACATCTACCACACCACGCTCACTATCATCACCACACCCACTCACTATCATCACCACCTCATCCCCACTATCATCACCACACCATCACTTCTCATCTACACCCCTTCATCATCTACCACCTCATCTCACTATCATCTACACACCTCCCAAATCCCACACCTCATCACTTCACTATCATCCACCTCATCACTTCACTATCATCTACCACACCTCATCGCTTCACTATCATCTACCACACCTCATCGCTTCACTATCATCTACCACACCTCATCGCTTCACTATCATCTACCACACCTCATCGCTTCACTATCATCTACCACACCTCATCGCTTCACTATCATCTACCACACCTCATCGCTTCACTATCATCTACCACACCTCATCGCTTCACTATCATCTACCACACCTCATCGCTTCACTATCATCTACCACACCTCATCGCCTCCTTCCTTTAAACTGGCTCCTAAACCAAAGACAAAAGGTGGAAAAGATGGCAGAAGAAATGCTTGTGGTGGCGTCCATACAACGCCTGGCGAAGATGGAGGGGGCGGGGCCAAGGGGAGGAGGAATGGGTGCGGGGGGAGATGGGAAGTGATGGGGAGCCGCTCCGATAAGCCCATTGGTTCAAAAGAGGAGGAGCTTGTATGGCGGCGCGTGATTGGTCTGTCGCATTAGTGGGAGGGGTCTAAAGATGGGAGCGGGTCTGTGATTGGCTATGGGTGGGCTGGGAGGGGAGAGGAGGGGGTGCTTGAGTGAGGGGAGAGACGCGGGTGTTTGTAATCAATAACAACCCTCACCCTTCCTCCTCCCCCACCTCCCCTCACTCTCCCTCGACCTTTCTGCTGCTGCTACAGTCCCCTCGTTCAGCTAAATCGTACTCCTTTCAGCTAACTATTGTACCGTTCTGCTAATTCTTGTTCCGTTCAGCTAACTTTTGTTCCGTTCAGCTAATTTTTGTTCCGTTCAGCTAATTCTTGTTGCGTTCAGCTAACTCTTGTTTCTTTCAGCTAACTTTTGTTCCGTTCAGTTAACTTTGTTCCTAGCAACTCTTTTTAAACTTGTTCAGCTAACTTTGTTTCAATCTGATAAGTTTTCTTAATCCACCACACACACACACACACACACCCAAGTAAGCAAGTCAATGGGCAGTTAGCTCGTTAAGTCAATTGGGCCATTAATGCAGTCATTTACTCCTTCACTCTCATCCTCCTCCCTAATACCACTCCTCACCTCCAAGCTCCCCACCCCACCATCCCCTCACCTCCAACCCCTCACCCACCTCCTCACCCCACCATCCCTCACCCCACCTCCCCCACCCCACCATCCCCTCACCCAACTCCTCCCTCACCCCACCTCCCCTCACCCCACCTCCTACACCTCACCATCCCTCACCCCACCTCCCTCAACCAACCCTCACCAACCTCCTCACCCCACCATCCCTCACTCAACCCTCCTCACTCCCCACCAACCCTCACCCAACCCTCCCTCACCTCCAACCTCACCCCACCAACCTCACCCAACCACTACCCCACCAACCCCTCACCTCCAACCTCCCTCACCCCACCAACACTCATCCAACCTCCTCACCCCACCAACACCCTCACCCAACCTCCCTCACCCCACCAACCCTTCACCTCCAACTCCTCACCCCACCAACCCTCACCTCCCCTCCCTCCTCACCTCAACCCCTCACCTCCAACCTCCTCACCTCTTAACATCCCCACCCAACCTCACCCAACCTCCCTTCACCCCCACCCAACCCCTCACCTCCAACCTCCTCACCCCACCATCCCTCACCCAACCTCCTCACCCCAACCAACCCTCACTCCAACCTCCTCACCCCACCAACCCCTCACTCCAACCTCCTCACCCACCAACCCTCACCTCCAACCTCCTCACTCCCACCAACCTCACCCCACCAACCCTCACCTCCAACCTCCTCACCCACCAACCCTCACCTCCAACCCTCACCAACCCCTCACCTCCAACCTCTCACCCCCACCAACCCCTCACCTCCTCCAACAACCTCCTCACCCCACCAACCCTCACCTCCAACCTCCTCACCCCACCAACCCTTCACACCTCCCTAACCCTCCTCACCCCCACCAACCTCACCTCCAACCTCCTCACCCCACCAACCCTCACCTCCAACCTCCTCACCCCACCAACCCCACCTCCAACCTCCCCTCACCCCACCAACCCTTCACTTCCAACCCCTCCCCTCACCCCACCAACCCTTCACCTCCAACCTCCCTCACCCCACCAAACCTCATTCCTCCAACCTCCCTCACCCCACCAACCCTCACCTCCAACCTCACCCCACCAACCCTTCACCTCCACCCTCACACCAACCTCACCAACCTCACCCCACCAACCCTCACTCCAACCCCTCACCCCACCAACCCTCACCTCCAACCTTCCTCACCAACCCCCACTCAACCTCCCTCACCACCACCTTCACTCCAACCTCCCCTCACTCATCAACCCTCACTTCAACCTTCCCTCACCTCACCAACCCTTCACCTTCCAACCTCCCTCACCTCACCAACCCTCACTTCAACCTCCCTCACTCCCACCAACCCTCATCTTCCAACCCCTCACCTCACCAACCCTTCACCT